CTCGCGTCCCCCTGCTCTGCATCTCTCTCTCTCTCTCATTCAGCTCAGCTCCAACAATAAACCGTTTCAATTCCAACTGTTCCTAAATAGCATTTACAAATAACAGTATATCTAAAAGTATGAGACAACAAAAAACATAGGCCTACCATTAAAGGAAAAGATCAGCCCGTTTCCCAGAGAAGGGACAGAGCAGTGTGTAATAAAGGTAAATTGTGAAAAATAATGTGTTTTTTTTTGTTTTGTTTTTAAACAAAGCATTAATACATGTTAGACTGCACTCCATAAACACAATCAAGCCTAGAAAAAAAAACAGTGAACCACCCCTTTAATCAAGATCTCCAAAAAAAACTTTTCTTGTCATGGTGCAGGTTCTAGGCATTGTGGTGGGTGTATTGATCCAGGATCACGATGTGAGGCAGACAGAGTTCCAGCAGCTTCCGTACCACAGAATCTTCATCATGCTCCTGCTGGAGCTTAACGCACCAGAGCATGTGCTGGAGACCATCAACTTCCAGACCCTCACTGCCTTCTGGTAAGCACATTAAATTAGTTTTAAGGTGCAGTCACATCTATCACTTTTTGGCGAATTTCAGTCGTTTCAGTAGAACCAGTGAGTTTGAGTTGGTCATGCGGCTTTGTCACGTTTACCAATAGAAAACTGCTTGGTTTGAAAGGTATTTCTGTGTGAGCTCTGCCTCATACATCATTACGCTATTGACAAATTTTTGGGGAATTTCACAGAAATGTTGCTAATGCGACTGCACCATTACTGTGTGTTGATCAGTCTTTGAATGGGTATTAAAGGACATTGTCTCTTTTCAGTAACACCTTTCACATCCTGAGGCCAACTAAAGCACCTGGTTTTGTCTATGCTTGGCTGGAGCTCATCTCACACCGGATCTTCATTGCCAGGATGCTTGCGCATACCCCACAACAGAAGGTCTGTATCTGCTGCATGATATGTATCAGGTGTCCAATCCAGGAGGGCCACTTCTTGCTGAGTTTTGCTGATCCTAATTAAACATCTAAACCAGCTAATCAAAGTCTTAATGGGATAGTTCACCCAAAAAAAAAAATTCTGTCATTAATTACTCACCCTCATGTCATTCCAAACCTGCGAGACCTTCATTCATCTTCGGAACACAAATTAACATATTTTTGATGAATTCCGAGAGCTTTCTGACCCTACATAGACAGCAAGGATCCTAACACGATCAAGGTCGAGAAACGTAGCAAGGACATCGTTAAAATAATCCATGTGACATCAGTGGTTCAACCGTAATTTTACGAAGCTACGAGAATACTTCTTGTGCGCAAAGAAAACAAAAATAACAACTTTATTCAACAATTCGTCGTCTCTGCGTCACCCTATAGCACCATTTTGGAGAGTATCACATACGTAAACAACGTATGTATGCAGATACGTTGTTTACATTCAGATCAAAGTGTAAACAGCGTATCCGCGTACATACATTGTGTACATATGTGATACTCTCCAGAATGGCGCTATAGGGTGACGCGGAGGAGAGCTCTCGGAATTCATCAAAAATATCTTAATTTGTGTTCCGAAGATGAATGAAGGTCTTACAGGTTTGGAACGACATGAGGGTGAGTAATTAATGACAGAATTTTCATTTTTGGGTGAACTATCCCTTTAATGATCATTCAAAACTTCCAAGCAGTTGTGTTGGAGCTAAACTTTGGAGGAAAATGGCCCTCAAGGAGCAAGATTGGACACCCCATATGTCTGTCCACGTCCCAATCACTGACTGTCTTCTGTGCCTTAAACGTCTCTTTCCTCTCTCGCAGGGTTGGCCAATGTATGCCCAGCTGCTGATAGACTTGTTCAAGTATCTTGCACCCTTCCTAAGGAATGTTGAACTCAACAAACCTATGCAAATTCTCTACAAGGTATTAGCGTAGTCCTGCCTTTGAAAGCCTGTCTGGTGGTTCTTTAGGTCAGTTTGTGACCTTGCATTGTTTCTCTCTCTATTCTCCAAGGGAACACTTCGTGTGCTGCTTGTCCTGCTACATGACTTCCCAGAGTTCCTGTGCGACTACCATTATGGTTTCTGCGACGTCATCCCGCCCAACTGCATCCAGCTGAGGAACCTGATCCTGAGTGCCTTCCCCCGCAACATGAGGCTTCCAGACCCCTTCACCCCTAATCTGAAGGTAGAGAGTTGCACATTTGACATCAGATTTGATGCATTGTGGTTTAGTATGTAGTTGTAACTTCAAGTATGCTTGTGGTCATCTTGTGCTGTATGTAACAGTTTCTGTGTGTTCACCAGGTGGATATGCTGAGTGAGATCAACATCGCTCCCCGCATCCTCACTAACTTCACCGGTGTGATGCCATCCCAGTTTAAGAAGGATCTTGACTCCTACCTCAAGACCCGTTCTCCTGTCACCTTCCTTTCTGAGCTGCGCAGCAACCTGCAGGTAGGGGGCGCCACTCTGAATCACAAAACAATTCCCAACAGACTCGCATGTTCATCTTTTTTTGTAATTTAGCTCTTTTAGTTAGTGAGACTTTTTTTTTTCCATAAAATCCACTCTACCTCCAGGTGTCCAACGAGCCAGGCAACCGTTACAACATTCAGCTGATCAACGCTCTGGTGCTGTACGTTGGAACCCAGGCCATTGCCCACATCCACAACAAGGGTAGCACTCCCTCCATGAGCACCATCACTCACTCGGCTCACATGGACATCTTCCAGAACCTCGCAGTCGATCTAGACACTGAGGGTGAGACGCAAAAAAATGTTTAACTTATTTTTCCCCACTCTTTAGTTTTAGTTCACATTGTGACTTGTATTCCTACTCCCAGGCCGCTATCTGTTCCTGAATGCGATAGCCAATCAGCTGCGTTATCCAAACAGCCACACACACTACTTTAGCTGTACCATGCTGTATCTGTTTGCCGAGGCCAACGCTGAAGCCATTCAAGAGCAGATCACCAGGTATGGCAGTGAGTTTAATTACTTATTTCTGTCTAAACTCTTAGCAGTGTTTAGTTCCATTTAATGCATAGTTCCTTTTTATTTAAGCCGGGCTCACACTGCGAATTTTTTTTGTTTTTTTTAAATAGTCCTCTACAATTGTTGTTTGTCAGACTGTACAAACATGATGATCATGTCCCAACGTGGGATTTCAGTTGTCATTAATGTCAGACTAGTGCTGGGCGGTATACCGGTTCATACCGAATACCGGTGTTTATTTTTCTTATGATATGAATTTTTAAAATACCGCAATACCGGTGTCGTTTAAATAATGTTCGGAACACGTTTGAGGGGGGGGTCTCTTTTCACTGTTGCACTGTGGCGAGGACACCGCTGTATGTGTTACTAAGCATGAAAGTTCAGAAACTGAAGCTGTAGAACGTGATGACAGAAGAACTCGTCCACAATATCCACCGCCCCCGTCATATACCGTGAAACCGGTATAATTTTGAAAAATACCGTGAAATTAATTTTTGCTCATACCGCCCACCACTATGTCAGACTGTAAGACAGTCAAGACTCATTAGAAACTGGTGCGCACAAGAAAACTTGTCCAGAGTTTTACATTATCAACCCATAAGCCGCCTTTCCACTATCTCAGACAAACGACAGACAGGAAGCCATTCATTTCCAATAGATAGTAGTGCGGGAGCTGTTCAGATCATATGCGCATGCGGGAAAATTCAGATCCGATTTGAGCTTCGGATGCGTTAAAATATTTAAACTTCTGCAGCTAGACCGTATGTGCCCGCCCGACCGGATGTGATGTATTCTATTAAAAACTATGAGCGTACGGTTAGAATTACCAATATTTTGTTCACTTTAACATTTTTCTTTAAACACTATTTCTGTAAAATGGTGCTTTAGAGTAATTATTGCAGAAATAATTATTTTATAATTATTAAATCATTATTTACGTTGATTAGCCCCATAAAACCTACTACGTTTTTGTTGGGGGTCATTTGATTTGTGACTATGCATTCATACATTGATTAATTATATTCATTAAAATTATTCATTTTACCATGGTGAATATGCCGAGGTAATGGTTGCTGCACGATCAGTTTGAAAGTTCTGTGCGACTGCCACTAGGGGGAGAAATGCGACAATCTTATCCGAATGACTGCGAGCTGCATTACACGCGGGGCTGAAATGTTGGCTATCATGAAAAGTATATGAATGGCGGCAATAGCGGAAGAATTGTATAAGCAGCACTACACACCCACATGAAAACAGCGGCGCAACCTGTGTTTATCATAGCAAAGGCAACACAAATTAATTCCTTGAGCAGAGGACGGGAGCGCCGGAGTTTATGGTGGTTAGAAGAAATCTCTAGCAGTAATTCTGATCATGGCTTGTCTTGAAAAACGGAGCCAGTTTGACGTTTGTTGTAGGAGAAGTCGCAGGTAAAATTTGATTGCAACAGCCATTAATTAGCTGTCGGTGAACATGTCAAACCAGCGATCAAAGACTACAGATTTTAACCTAGGATTATAGGAATCTTTTGGGATTTTCAAAATTTGTCTCAAATCATGGCCAAAATCGCACCGTGTGAGCTGAGCTTTACAAGAACAATTGTATTGTTATTTGTACGGATACTGTTCTTTTTAAAGGGGTGGTTCACTGGGTTTTTTCTAGGCTTGATTGTGTTTATGGGGTGCAGTCTAACGTGTTAATGCTTCGTTTTTTTCAGTTTTATCCTGATTAAAGCTTTAATACAGTAAGGCAACTGCACTGCACCAATGTTTAATGCTTCTCATAGCTATGTGAAAATAAGTGTTATAAATAGAACAGAGCTGAGCTGATGATCTGAATGAGAGAGAGAGAGATGCAGAGCAGGATGAACCACCCCTTTAACATTTCACATTTTCAATCTTTGCCCAACCAACCCAGAACAGGTTGTCCTAATTATTTTAATTTTGAATAACTAAATTTCTAAAGAATTCAGGAACACTTTACAATAAGGTTCCATTAGTCAACGTTAATGCATAACTAAAATTAACTAACAATGAGCTATTCATTTGTTACAGTATTTATAAGTCTCTGTTAATATTAGTTGATAAATATTAAATGTTATCATATACAGCTTTTTTATAATTTATTAGTAAATGTTGCAATTAAGATCAGATGCTTTAGAATTATTTTTCATTGTTAATTTGTGGTAACTAATGTTAACAAATGTTAAGCTTTATTGTAAAGTTATAACAAAAAAAAACAAAAAAGTTTACTTCTATTTTAAGTGCTATACTTGACTATAGGTTCTTGTCTATTGGTCTATTTTAGTGTCTCTGAGATACTATTATAGTTTTTAATAAGGGTGCTCCGATTGATCGGCTACCGATCACCATCGGCCAATAATCACATTGGGATGATTGATCGGCGGTCTCTAAAAAGGCCGATCTCAAAAAAACGATCTCAAGCTGATGACACTGCTGTGAGAGGTTTGGCACGACATGCACCGTCTCAGTCTCTGTCCGGCGCAGGTTAAATAATTATAATGCTGAAGGTGAGGTACTCGCCTTCATATTTCTTCATTAAGTAACTTATAAAGTAATTTGAAAACCTTGTGTGAGACATAATTTCACAAACTTTGTGAGTAAATCACCGCGCGCGCTCTCTCTTTCTCTCAAAATACACACAATGCCAGGTTCACATTACTCCGTTTGCAGTGCATACGTAGTGCGTATTTTTTCCTGCGTTCAGGAGCGGTGTGTCTGCAGCAGTGCAGCGATCGTTTCCGCACCGAGTCTATTTTTGCTGTGCTGCAAGCGCTGAATTAAAAGATTTAATTGTATTGCTTGTAATAAAGATTTAAATGCAAAAGGAAAGGCAGTAGAGCTGACTATTTCTGTCAATGGTAAGTTTGTGGTAACGTAACTATAAATAGTTATAAATTATAAAAAGAAGACTTTAAAAGATCGGTATCTGTGATCGGTATCGGCAGATACTGCTTTCTGTGATCGGTGATCGGCCTCAAAAATCCTGATCGGAGCACCCCTAGTTTTTAATGTTTTGAATCAGTTTTCAGGAGAATTTACGTTTTATTAAAGTTAGTAAAGCAATTAAAATAAAGTTGTTGTTTTTTCCCCAATTAATTTCAGTCAATGTGTATTTTGAAATAACACTTTCAAAAATGTTTGTTAACTATAATAACCCTGGCTAACTTGTGTCGTGTAGGGTCCTGCTGGAGAGGCTAATTGTGAACAGGCCGCACCCATGGGGTCTGCTCATCACCTTCATTGAGCTGATCAAGAACCCTGCCTTTAAGTTCTGGAGCCATGATTTTGTGCACTGTGCCCCAGAGATCGAGAAGTAAGGGTGCCAACATGACACAAACACATCTTTCTGCTTTTTCACAACAGAATAACTGCAGTGTCCATGTTTTTGTGTGTGTGTAGGTTGTTCCAGTCGGTGGCTCAGTGCTGCATGGGGCAGAAGCAGGCCCAGCAGGTGATGGAGGGAACGGGTGCCAGTTAGGCTGCAGGAACTGCTCCTGTGCCCAGAGAGAGAGCTCTCCCTCTCCCCAACCCTTCATTTGCCCCACCAACACCCTGCACGTCTGATCGACACACAGCCGGCACTGGATTCCCGCTCGCCTTCCACCGGGTGGCATCTGACCTGAGTTTCTTTTTTGTTTCCTTTTTTCCCCCTCAAGTTATAAAATGTTCAATGTAAATATTAAAAAGGGACATTTTAAGAGCAGAATGTTTTTTTTGTTTTTTTTTTGTCAAAGGTGAGGCACATGCTTGAGCACATTTCAATCCTTGCTGTTTGGCTTCCCCTAACTCTCCATAAATTATTTTTTGCCTTCAAGACGGATTGACTTCTGTTTGGAAGCTTGGTAGTGGCTAAGGAAGCGGTCTTGTTTTATTTTTATTTTTTTAATTATTTTTTGAGGTTTGGTTTTTAAGGGGAGCGCTATCAGTGTGGTGAGCTGATAGGATCGGACAGATGTCCTGGACTGCAGGGGGGGGGGGTTCACTAGTTTGCACCTGTGAGGAAACAAATCTTGGGTTGGAGGTTCTCCCTGGCACTTGTACAATTGTGGAAATATTCAGAAATTTGTTGGTAAATTGGATCTTCGGAGTTTGTACAAAGATTCAACTTGCAGAACAAAAAGGACCAATACAGCTCATTTTGTAAGGATTTCGAATGTTTTGTAAATGTATTGGTCCGCGTGTTGTATTTTGTAGTACTTTGTAGTTGCCTTTAGTTCCGCTACTTATTTCCTGTATGTATGCATTCTGTAGTTACCGCATTAAACACTTGAACTGCAACTTTGCCTCCTTGTTTCATTTGCATTTGTTGAAATGTTAGTTGAAACAAATTGAGTTATATGGTTTCTGGTCCCTGTTAAAGGGATAGTTCACCTTCACCCAAAAATGAATTGGTGTGCTGCGCAACGGGCCGAGTCTGGTTTGGATGCGACAGTGTTGGCAAGTTACTGGTCCGGCTGATTCGGCCCAGAATCTGAAAGTGAGTAAACAGGCATCCAGGCCGGGTGCGGCAGATGGAGCCAGGCCGAGGTCAAGTCTCTAGCAGGTGAAAATTTAACTGAATCTGGCCCGAGTGTACGGAGAGGGATTGTGTATGAGGTAGATGTAAATAGCCTATCAGCAAACGTCAAATTGGTAAGTTTTCACTAGACTTCAGTTGAGTCAGCAGTTCGCTTGACAGTAAATAAGGATCTAATCCTAAATTATCTTTTATTTTATTTTTTTTAAATACCATTGTTTTCAGTTGTTGGTGAAGTGTTATTTTGGTTTCCGATCACCAAGGAGAGGCTATGCAAAGTCCTAAAGATGGCGGCCGCAACAAAAAAAGTCACATGACTGAAACCCATGAATACAGCCTTTTTGCGGGATTTTGTACTCGCTCACCAAACTTACCTACTCCCAGAACAGACTGGGGAAGAACGCAAGCCTTTTACAAGTCAGTGTACAATCAGAATTATTTTTAAACTGCTACTTCAAGGTAAAAAAAAAAAAAATTACATTGCTTTAATGTGCTCAACTTGTAAATATGTTTATGCCGACATGACTTTCCTGTAGCTCAAACAGTACCACATTGCACTAGCAATGTTAAGGTATTATGTTCAATTCCTAGGAAATACATGCCTTCATTTAGTAAAAGTGTCCGCTAAATTCATAAATGTGACCGGACTCGAACCCACCAAAAGCCGCGCTAAATACCTTTACATCAATCAAAACACAATCTGAACCGTATTCCAAAGGATTTTTTGAAAGGAAAATGTACAGCATACTAAATGGAAAACTCAAACTATACACAGTTTGCAAATTTAATTACACTATATCGGCTGAGGATTTTTAAATCTTGGCAACTGCAGAATGCAGCGTCAACGCCACATATGACATATGTAAGAATGTGAAACCCATACATTAAGACATAGGTTTGGTGAGCTGCTGCAAGCGCTGTAGAATGCTCTTCTGACCGTAACGCACATGCAGAGCTCTCCTCTCTCTGCTGCTGAGTTCAGCCAGAGCTCCCTGATCCTCCAGCCGCTTCCTGTCCGCCTCTACATCCTCAGAATAAGAGTCTAGCGTCAGAGCAGCTGCCGCATGCAGGAGACATTTCCACTCTGCTGACAACCCCGTCAGTCCATCGAAACTCAGAGCCTGCTCCATTTTATCATCCTCATTCTCTTCATCTTCCTCCCAGCCTTCGTTTTCACAGAACTCCTCGAAATGTTGCAGCGGCATGCACAGGACCTATGCAGTTTTATATATATACATATATGTATATATAAACGGGTAATGTAGGAACAAATTGTCATGTGGATAAAATGGTTACCTTCAGTGTAGTGTAGAGCTCACTGTAAGTAAGTGAGCCTGATTGGCCGAAGATGAAAACCCCTTTCTCCCCAACAATCTCCATTTCACACAACATGTTCCATTTGTCCACTAGGAGCCTTTGATCTGCTTCACTTTGTGCCGCTGTAATTGCAATAAAAAAAATTTTTGAAGTTTTTTTAAAAGTATTTCTTTGTGTCAAGCAGTTGACTTTTTATAGACGTCTACAAAGTCGCACCTTGCACTGCTGCTTTGTACACACTGGACATCTGTATATCTGCAGTATCATTGCTGTTAGTAGGAAACGGCTCTGCAAAGCCGTACATGTGGAGGAGCTGCCAGTTTGCCATCTGTCCGTAGGTGTTAAAGACCTCCTCGCCCTTTTCAATGTGCCGTACGGACACCATCTTCAAACACTCCTGTGCATCGAGTGAACGTGAGCTGTGAGATTTCTAAGCAACTAGCATAATAAACAATAAAAAGCGATTCATGTGTACCACATACGGGTGTATATTCCAGATTAGCGTTGTGCTTGGAAACGTGATTCAGCATGTCAGCCATGGGCACCATCATTGGAGGGTTAGGCTTTTTTTCTTCTTCTTCATCCTCATCCTCTACAGGCTCTTGAAAACTGAGGAAATATTGAGAAACATTGGGAAATGTTACAAGTAAAGTAGGGAATGCACTGATATTAACATTATGGCTGATATGATAAGCAGATAATTATTTTCATGTTATTACCAATAGCCAATAAATGGCTAGTGGTCAACCAAAATATTGCAAAGGTTGATATATCTACAAATATTTGGCATTATTTAAAATAAATACAAATTTCGGCAATTGTTACACGTGTTTTTATCTTTAAAATTAAATAGTGTGATATTATATATATATATATGCTTTATATTGGCCACCAGATATCAGCATCGCCCATAAAATAAATTAAAAAATCAGTATCGGACGATCACTATGAATGGCAGATATTAAAATTCTACTATTTTGTCTAAACTTAAAAATACAAACTAAAATAAACCGATTTAAATGTGAAACTAGGCATCACTGCATTATAATGCACAGTATGAAAACTAAATATTTATTTAGAGCTAAATATTAAAAATAACAAATGTTATTAAATTATTAGTGGTGTGTTTATGTTATTAAGTTTCAGTGAAATTTAAAAATCAGTATCGGACGATCACTATGAATGGCAGATATTAAAATTCTACTATTTTGTCTAAATAACTTAAAAATACAAACTAAAATAAACCGATTTAAATGTGAAACTAGGCATCACTGCATTATAATGCACAGTATGAAAACTAAATATTTATTTAGAGCTAAATATTAAAAATAACAAATGTTATTAAATTATTAGTGGTGTGTTTATGTTATTAAGTTTCAGTGATCATTAGATGATAGCAAAGGTCATTTAAATATAAAATCAGGGGAAATTAGCATGAACATTTAAATATCCAATTTGATACATTTAAATATCGGCCAATAACCAATTTGGTATACCATAAAAATGGCATAAATAAATAGTTATTATTAAGCCTTTATATAAAATTATTGCTGTTTATTTATTATTATTTTTATTTTAATACACTGTACATACATATATAAAAATATAGATAATATACAGTTATTATACACAGAAAACATACCTAAAAAAATATCTAAACATAAAATTAGATATTTAATATTATACCTTTAAATTTAAAACAGCCATTAAATAAATAGTAGCTATTAAATAAATAATAACCAATTTGGTACCGATATATTGTGCATCTCTAAATAGAATAATCATGTTATCAAACCTTTCATTTAATCAAATTCAATAGCTAATAGATATCTCACCTATAGGCCATTACAAATGCTACCAGGCTCTTGTAGAGCTCCAGCGTGTGCTTCTCAGGGTCCCACAGGTCAGGATGGGACTTCATGAAAGGAAGGACTATGTTATTGTACTCATCCTGGAGTTTTTTCAGATCTGTTTTGACAGCCTCTGGAATTCCTGTGCCTTTCAGGTGTTTATCACGCTCCTCCTCGGACCTTCAAAACAGAGACATTGTGACCATAAAGAACTGAAGGATCCTTGAAGTGTATCTTAAAGGTCAGTAAATATTCACAGCAAAACTTACCAGAACATGGGTTGATCCAGTGTCCTAAAATCGGGCCAGAGAGACAAATATGGTTTCCAGTGGGATTGTGGACATGTATACTCATATAGGAGACCCAGAAGAAGAGGAACCCAGCCTGATGCGCTCTCCAACGATGTTTTCCCTAGACAACATATGGTTATATGGTTACAAGCCTGCTATAGAAGGTGGGATTTCAATAAACCTGAATGTTCTTGTACCTTCCTCAAGGACCTTTTTTACTTTAGTGGTGCCGTGATGCAGAAGAACCTCTCTGGGTATGGAGAACAAGACGTGGCCCTCTTCGATGTCCTCTTCGGCAAGCATGCCATATTCTGCTGCTGTCCCCTCTTTACTTAAGTACACCTAAAGACATTAATGTACAATGTGGTAAATATTTCCAAGTTTAGGTTTTTGTCTGTATTTGAAATTTGATTTCAAAATACATGATTCGACTTGTGCTGATGATAAAACCTTAAACTTGGAAATATTAAGTCCTTTATAATTATAAAAACTTGAAAAATGGCAAAAGAACATAAAATTATTTTTGCTAAAACTTAAACTGAACATTCAAAATATTAATAAATAGGCCTACTATAATGCTATATCTATGTAATATAATACTATATGTATATAAATATAATACAAGCTTACCTTATCGCTGAGAGTCAGCTTTACACTATCGCACCACAGCAAGAAGTTTTTCAAGGGGTCCAGCACACATTTCTCATCATCTATCTGAAACACACATGATGCTCTGCTGAAGGCTCATCATGATAAGCACAATGACTGTATTTCAAGCTAAAGGCGCTATCTGAATCTAAACTATGAATTATATAAACTGTCACTAATAATAGTTTGAGAAAACGTCTTTTTTACCTTTGGCCTTTTTGCATCTGTCGCCATTTCTTTCAAATGCAAGTTCGTTAGTGAGATATTAAAATATATATATTGTTTTATAGTGACAACCACACAGGAATACAGTAATAATTATATTCTACGTGCCTCCATGTGAGCAGCTTCGGCCACTTCTTCTTCATTCACTCTGTCTGCAGAAAGTAACACAGTCATGTGCATTAGCGCCACCTACTATAAGAATACTACTACTGCTGCTGCTGCTGCTACTACTACTACTACAGAACAAAAAAGTATTAATAAAAAATAAAATAAATAAATAAATAATCGATATAAATTCTCGATATAACATAACATTTTGTTGTCTTATTTCCCAGATTTAGGAATGAAGCCGGTCACATATTTATTTATTATTATTATTTTTAATTCATTCATTCATTCGTAAAAATATAAATATGTGACCCTGGACCACAA